AGTAGCATCTTCATTATGTAGCTTGTTTAATGCAGTCCTTTCTATGAAAGTATATTAGTATTGTAACACCTTAGAAATTTGTTTCCTTTAAAATACCTGTTTTGGTCTTTTAAAATATGAAATAGGAAAATCTAAGGTATTACCGCCACCGTGAAAACGACTAAGGCAATTATTAAAGACACACTGCGAAAGACTCACTTTAAAAACCATTCAAAACAAGTCAACTTAAAAAGTCAAATTAAACGAAAGTAAAGTCAAAGTCAAACAAAATCAACCTACAACTTGGAACCATTGTAGGCCTAATCAAAACCCGAAACAAATATTAAAACCTTGGTGTTAGTCTCACAAGAAAATATATAATAATCCAAGCAAATAAAACAAATCATATTCCTATGGAAACTAAACAAGATTCACTCTTCACTCATACCCATCATGAATATGCTTCATCACCTGAAAAGCTTCTCTTTACTTTGTCCCCAGTACTCGCCATTAGATATGGGTCGTCGTAGGGCCAAGATAAATACAAGGCCAAACAAACATACAAACACACAATCAGCAATGCTGTGTACATAAGCGTAAACAGTAGAAACTAACATGTTTTCATCCTATCAACACTCGACTTACCTTGTTGCACCTGTTTACAAGCATACAACATACAACACAATCAACCAGTAAATAAATAGATTGCTTATTTAGCTTGATTACACATCGAACGGGTTTCCCCTTAACCTGCCCCAATAAAGGGGTACTAACACGGGAGCTAACCGTGCCAGTATAAAGAACCACTCGTAAGTGGCGGAATTCCTGCACATAATAAAAAGGAAAATACAGCGTCATGTACTCCCAATAGAAGTTATGGTCAAATATAAAGTCGCATAACTCCCCCCATATGTTCATACTCGAGGTATATACGTTCCAAGAGTTTTGGTGCACAATCTCTTCCACTTTACGTTGTTTACATATTTTAAGACTTGGTGATGACTCTCAATCCATAAAACAATTAATCATCATAAATCATTCAAGCAATCAAACATACTAATTTAATTCTTGAATAATTAGCGACCACATTTAATTTAATAATGAACCCTTTGTAAACTAGCTCGGCGTTAAATAACACCTTAAGCGCATAATGCACCTCAAATCCTATCCCTTCGTGTTTAAAAACACCTTAAGTGCACTTAGGCACCAAAATATAAATTAATTCTCGTGTAAATAGAAAATTAAGTAGCTCTTTTCCCATGCTTATAGCATCAATAAAAATTATATGAACCATAATAAAATTCCCTTTTAATATTCCAAACTCAATTTAACATTTAGTTTAATTAAACATGCTCTCAATCATGCCAATAATAATAGTGTGGTTCATAATCAACATGCCAACATAAATCAGTTCCAATCAATAATTCACCTCAAGTAATTCATACATCACAAATCAATCACCAAAAACAATCCAATCAACAATTCCAACCAATACCTATCATGATAGTACCTTGAAATTAATTAAATAGATCCTAGCATGCTTCTACACATTTAAATAATTACCGAATACGCGAACGTACCTCGAATATGATCTCAAAATTGTCATTACTACACAAAATTCACTCACTTGGAAGTCTCCTACATCCCAAAATTACAAAGAGACATTAATACCTATTCATAATAAATTTCCAGCAATATATACACTCTTTAAAACACTTTTAAACCTTCTAAAACAAGCTGAAAATTAATTTAAATCACCTACTTTTATTCCCAATTAATGAGTAATTAAAAATTCTTTCAAGAAACACAATTCTAGCCTCTACATATAAATCCAGCTTTATAAAAACTTATAAACTTGATGTAATTTTGTTTAAAAACATAAATTTCAATAGTTTTCATCAACTACAATCAATTTCCATCAATAAACATTAATTTAGAAACCTAGGGTTTCAATTTGGGGCTTTTAAATTTAAAAACCAAATTTGAAAATTACATACATTTAATCATTATTAAAACATCATAAAATCATCACACACACCCAAAATCAATAATTAATCAAGGTCGGATTAATTAAAAACAAAAGAGAGAGAATTTTTTTTAAAAAAAAAACACAACCGCACGCACGGGGAGGGGGTTGTTGCCGCCCTCCACGCCGGCGGCTGCTGCTGTTGGTTGCAGCTGGCGGCGATAACCGGCTGGTGGGAAGTGGTGGTGGTGGCGGCCGCCACCTTGGTGTGTGTGTGTGAGAGTGTTTGTGAGGGAGAGGGGAAAAATTAAAGGAGAGAGTAAAATAAGAGGAGAGAGAAAGATATTTTACCTTAGGGCATTCTCCACCTTGGGCAAATTTTAATTTGCTCATATGATGGGCATTTATACCCTCTCTCAAAACCCTCCTAACTTAAATTCCTTTTCTAATCTTAATGATTCATGCTCCTTTTCAAAATGACATTTGAATTTCTTTAAAACTCCATGTACTTAAAAATTTCCTTTTATAAATTAATTATGCCCTAATGTTTTTTAAATAATAAAATAAAATATTTCCAAAGCAATTAAATAAATAAAAATGGACTTTTAATTAAAATAAAAAATTTTAAGTTATTAAAATACCATAAAATAATTCATTTTGAATTATTTAAGTACTTCATAAAATAATGTTTTAAATTAATATGCGTATAAAAATACGGGGTATTACAAGTATATTTAGTGCTTTGTTTGTTAATGTTAATGTTAATATGTGGTTTAAAATTTGACGAACAACAAAAATTTAACGAAGTACAAGTGGAATGGGATAAGTCTTTTAAGTAGTGGTGGATAATTTATGTACCGTAGTAGATGAAATAAAAATCCAAAGACCACCAATTGAAATTTCGTTTCTAGCGACACCTTCTAGAATAAAATAACTAATGATTATTGTTTCAAAAAAAAAAACAACCAATGATTACGATTATAGATGATTTAGTGAAACTTAGAAGTTGCATATAAATACCACGTTAAAACAAGATTATGTATAACAAGTGAATGGCTTATACACAATGGATTAAGTTGCATCTACTTGGAATTAACCTGTAAATTACATTGGCTAAGCAAACAAAGTCGAACATATTTCATTTCATTCTTGTTGTATTTCTAATTGAGACTACTCGATCAATTAGATATTACCAAATCCCATGAAAATGTAATCTAAGTCAATTAATGTGATTTAGTAAAAGTGTTAATTAGGATCTATGTTATCATATTATAAATCAGCTAATTTGAGGGTCAATAATTTATTATAATCGTCTAGAGTACACCACGTATGAATTACTTGTAACTTTAATTCTACAAACACATTCTAGTTATTTTTGCGATCAATTTACTAGATTATAATTACAGGGATTGATTAAGAAGATTTATATAAAATATGGTTGCATATAAAAAACAACTAATTTATGTCCAAGTAAATGCGTTTGATGATCATGACCAAAGTATGGGTATAAGAACAACAATGGACAGTACATTACCATGCATGACTCAGAAGCTAAAAAATAGTATGATATCATATGAGGATAAACAGCCTAATAGTAGGATGTGAGCATCGAACCCGCGCTAGTAATCACCCTTTGATAGTGGAACACTTTCTAGCAAGTGACAATACTTACTTGGACATTGATATTGATCATCATATGTTGGTCCATAACCCAACATATGACAAACACAGATCAGTGTATTGTGGTCAACATATTTCTAGGCCATGGCCCATATTAAGTCAAACACAGTGGGGAAATTTTTGGGTTGAAATATTTTTGGGCTAATGCCCTAAAAAATGACAAACAATTCCAAGTTAACATTCAAGTGATTTTAGTTTGACATTAAAGGATCATATTAAACACATTATGACTAGTAAAACCAAATTTGGACGTCGAGAGAAATTAACAAAAATTTTAGGTAATTAGCCCAACACATTAGGACCAAAAATATTTGTTTATCGTATCCTAGTTTCTGGGCTTTGTTATGAACTTGTAAAAATACACAACTGTTTTGTTGGGCCGATGAAATGGGCTATGACTACAATTTGTCCGGTCCAGTGCGTTAGTCTAGAGAAACTAAAAACAACATGAAAGTTGATTGTATTAACATGATATTAATACGAGTGGTTAAACATCTTTGGGAAATTGAAAATAAAAACACCATGTAAGTAAGATATGCGAATACGCTAATAATTCGATTGCTTAAACAACGTCTTTGGGTAATAGAAATATAGAAATACATATTGTCATAAATCAGTCTTTACAAATTAAACGATACAACATAAGTATTAATGTACTACACCAACGAACCACACTTTTATCCAAAATTTCCAACTATTAGAAAGACTGGGAATTATCGTCAAACCATAACAACGTGTTACAACTTAGGAACTCATCGTCACAGACTCCATCCGAAAATGTTGATCACTAGGCATATCCATGCAATGATCTTGGCTTTGTGTAACATTCGGGTTGCGAGAAACCTGCACCAACAAGAATATATGTCAATTTGTGCACAGATTGTAATATTTGCAATAGGTAGAAAACAAAGATCACTTACTGGAAGTTTTGATATACCATCTATGGAGGGAACATCAGTTTGTTGTTTATGAGCCTTTGATTTCCTAGTCTGTGGTTTTTTGTAACCATTTTCAAAAACTAACTTGTTTCTACTACCTTTGAGCCTCCCACGGGGTCTCTTTGTTCTAGGTGGGTCAGAAGGAACTACAAACTCTTCATGTGTACCACCCATAACAGTATTCACATGTGTCGTAGCTCTTACTGTATCATAGGACTAGACAGGGTCCTCTGCATCTGTTGCAACATTTGATGTCCCCCATCTTCTAGGTAGAACGCTGGTGGGGATTCGTGTTGCTTCTTACGCTTGTGCCTTACCACTTCTTGATGCATATGATTGATCTTATCTAGAAGAAAGTCAATAGTTTCATCACTACTCATGACAACCTCGTCTCATAGAGATTCAAAGGCATTAATCAGTTGGTTGTACCATTGTGGTTATGAAGGGTCATGGTACTCAACCTTAACACAGGTGTGTTTCCGTATGATGTCTTTACGCCACCGATTAACAATGTACTTCTCCATAATGTCGAGAACATGGTTCTGGTCGAGTATTTGTATCATGTGCTTACACATAATACCATCAGTTTGAAACTTGCGACAATCACAAAGAACATCCTTGGTTACAGTGTTGAATGTTGCGAAGTAGAACCTCCGACGATCTATAAGATTCTCCTCACTCAGTCCTTCAGGAACTACCCACACTCGATCCTCTTCAATGTAGAGAATAATAGTATCCTCAATGAATCTCTCTTCCAAACAAAAACAATACATCATTCGAGCACATTCAGTTTGAATTTCTTGGAACTTAGTGTCGGTGTACAACTTTTGAAAGAGTTTCTCAACCTCAAAACCACTGACCAGCCTCCTCAAATACTTAGAGAAATTAGCATCTTCATTAGACTCATCACGTGTCCATTTTTCCAGCGCCTTGGAGTACTTAAGAGGAAATTCAAAAATCTTTGCGTTGCGATTCACAAATCCACACTTACCTTTTACACTTACCCAAATTTTTGAGGATCTTTCTTAAATGTGCCAAAAGCACCATCTGTGTCGTGTGTTGGGCATGAGCTCCTTTAGTGGCTTTCACATTGCAGCTGCTTGGTCAGTAAGTATGGCAACCGGTGCTTGATTATTCATACTGGACAACCACTTTTTAAAAATCCACTTGAACGTATCATAATCTTCATGTGAAACCAGTGCACATCCCAATAATAAAGATTGCCCGTGGTGGTTAACACAAACGAAATTCACAAAGGGGGGCTCATGTTCATTTGTTAGGTATGTGGCATCAAAGCACACCATATATCCGAGCTCTTCATAAGCAACACGGCTACGACCACCAACCCAAAACACATCTTTCAACCATCCTTCTTCATCAACGTGTTGAGCATGCTAAAAATTATCGGTTGTGGCCTGCATGTGCTGAAAATACGAAATCATCGCAGCGAAATCACCACTAACCATCTTCAGACGCCTTTCTTTGTACAACTTCATGCTAGAGGGCTTTGATATTAAATGGCATGTTATCCAACCCATTCCGCTCCACGGCCATGCATCCACGAATTTGTGACACATAGACTCCCTCTTTATAGTAATTCAACAACTTCCTCCTAACCCTAGAAGTAAAATGTTTCAACCGATACTCCTTTACAAGCTTTGACTGACTAGGAAGAGGCGTAAATGTTTCAGAACTACTTTCCTCACCACCCTTTCCTTTTCACGATTTAAACTCCCATAAAGCATTGCATAGCACTCGCATTTCTTAGACTTCCTCTTCCTACAATTTGACTCATCATCACATACTTTTCCACCAACAACTCCTCTAGAGCCAGAAACACCCAACTCCTTTGCCATTTTTCTAGCCTCCCTAATGGCCCTCATGTCTGGTCTACCCCAACACTCACACCTCCATGTTGTTGTAGTTTGAACTTGTATATCCCCCTTGAAAAAATGGCTTTGACTCTACTCACACCAAACCCTTGTTGTTTTGCATAGTCTTTGTAATACTCTTCGAGATCCTCCCACTTCTTAAACGCCATTTCCACTTTTGGCTCCTCCACGTAGCTCACAACACTAATGTGATTACTACCCACAATTGTTTCCTCTGTCTGAATTGTTTGAATCAGGGATAAATATTGTTCCCTTATCTCATTTGCTGCTCTATTACACGGGTTGTGTTTCCCTTTAACATATGGAACAATAGCACCATATGCATCACCCTCTTCCTCAAATACAATTTCTTTCGATCCAAACCCTCTGTTTCTTACTACCTCCAACCAAGTCTCCGCTACCTCTTCTGTCATGCAGACTAATTTCACAACCCCTATAAACAATAGGGGACTCAGTATCTGACTCCATCTAAATTAGGTGGATTGGCAACAAATCACTCCTGAGAAAAATTAAAAAAAAATTCGTCGAGTTAGGATTGCCAGACGTTTACACCAAAACGTAGATCATATGTCGAAGATATGCAAACACACAATTATCTATTAATACTATAAACAATGAGCCATCACCTTATGCTCACAAAGTTGTTAATTCCTCTATGCACCACTCCTTAAATGAAGAAAGATTTTTCCATTAAAATCTTCCATTTACCATCTACTCACTATCATCTTACAAAATATCAGAAAACCACCATTTTGAACCACATCAATCATGAAGTAACATTAACATGAAGTTGACGAAAATATATCCGATTGTAGGGAATTTGTCAAACTCATCATTGAGCCATACTATGGTTTATACTTTTAGACATGGCGGCGTTCCAAGGAAAAGAAGCTAGAGATAAAAGAGTCGCCAACAAGTTTTAGGAACTTGTAAACCGTTCACGGGTGTGAAGGTTACACCCCATTCACGATCACAGAGATCGCTAACTCCATAGTGGTCCGGAACCATGACTGGATGTTCGGGGATGATGGTACGAATCCAACCTAAAAGAGATTGAACCTGCCCTAAATAGGCCTCTAATTAATTCTTATAATATTCGTGGGCGCTTTTCGATCAACATACATACATCAAGTTAATCTTAAACCTGTTTAATCTATATTGGTTGATTATTAATGAACAATCAAATCTATCATTGGTGATCGCTTGAATTAAAATCCTATTAGCCTAAATAAAATTATTAACGGATTTTTCACCATGTACTCCTGAGTTATTTTTTTATTCACTAAATACCCTTAAAATTTTTCAAATTCACCATATACCCATAAGTTTTCTGCAAATGTCACTAAATGCCCTTAATGACTAACAACAATTAACTCCGTTAGTCATTAAGGTTAATGACACCACATGGAAGCCTCTGATTGGCTATTTTTTAAATTATTGAATTAATTATTTAACTATTAAAAAAAAAAAAAAAAAAAAAAAAAAAAAAAAACCAAAACCCCCTTTACTGCCATTCTCCCAACCACGTCACCTTCCCCTTTTACTGTCAATCCTCTCCCCTCGCCGGTGACCGGCAAGCCCTTTCCCGTCACCAGTGCTAGGCCTCCCCATGCTGGTGACTTCCATCGTTACATAGCCACACCTCCCCAACGCCCATGATTCTCGAATTTTCTCTCTCCTTTGGCACAAGCCAAGGCCAGCCCTATCCTCCACTTCGGCGCCGGCGCCGGCACTGACCCTGCCCTTCAACCTTCCCCACGACCGCCACGCCGTCGTCCCTCCCCCTTAAGAATGGCAACAGATCGGATTCGAATTGGATGGAGCTTCACCCGCATCCATCTGTTAACCTCATCCGCTCCACTCTATCCACCCTTCACCCGCCAAACCCATCACCCGCATCCGATCCATCTGTCACCCGTGGGAGAAACGGGTGGATCGGATGCTTAGCGGGTGATTGTTATAATTTCTTGTTTTACAAATACATCAAGATTATTGTCATTAATTTTTTATATTACGGGTGATAATTACATATAATTAAATAATACAGTAAATACCAATGCTTTCCTTTGTTAAATGAATAATATCATTAGCCTTGCTTAACTCTATAACTAGACCCCAATGCAAGTCCCCAACGAATCAATACATAATCAGACCCCAACGAATAAAAATTATAACCAGTCCCCAACTACATATAAATCTATAACATATAATAATATAACTTCAACGAATCTAGTTCTTAAAAACAAAAATCAATATCAAGTCCTGTATGCAATATGAATTTCAACTATAATTCTTGAAGTAATACATTAGCTTTTTTTAAACATCAAAATGAATATGACTAGCTATATATAGTGCATATGAGTAGTACAAAATCAAAGTGTGACCCATTCCAAAAATCTACTGAAATGATTGAAAAAAAAGTTATAGAAGAGCCGGTAAGGTAGTCGGTGCTCGCTGAGGAGTAGCCGCTGCCCGTGGTGAGGTAGTTGGTGAGGAATAGTCGCCGGTGAGGACTCTAAGGAGTGAAGGCAGTGAAGGAAGTAGGTAATGACTAGTGTGAGAGTGTGAGACAATTTTGAGGAGGTGGGAAAGGAGGCATATAAAGGTTAGGGTTTTAGGAAATGGGCTTTCTATATGAGTGTAATTTTTTTATTATTTATATATTAAGGGTGGATGACTGATCGGGTGATATACGGATGACGGATCAGGTGATGGATGAAGTAAAGCTCCACCCGAATCCGACCCGATCTGTCACCTGTTTCATCCATCACCCGCCTTTCATCCATTTAAAGCGGATTTTCATCCATTTAAATATATTGGGTGGATCCGGTTGTTGGATATCCATTGAAAATTTCCATCCCTACTCCCTCTTGCTCCTATAACACGATCCCCCACCCTAAAACCCCTTTCCCTCCCTCGAAACCCTAGAAAAACCCATCCCCAACTACGTTTCTATTCATTGGAGGGGAACAGGTTTCAGGGTTATGATCGTGGTTTAGGGGTAAGAGGGAGGGGTGACGGTAGGGGGAAGGGGCAGCGCTGGCCACGGGAAGGAGTTTCGGGTGCCAATTGTGTGAGTAGGGCTAGAAATCCCTAACCCGACTCGATAACACGCCCGAACCTGACCCGAAGTTACTAAGAGAACCCGAACCCGACTTGAACCGAACTCGAATAGCCCGAATTCGATCCAATTTGAACCACATTTCATATTTCAAAATAATATTAAGTTTTTCACAAATTTTGATAGTATTTAAGCATAACCTGAAATCAACCCGAAATCTGACCCCAAACTTGACCTGCTGACCCGAATTCCCACCCATATGTGTGAGGGGGGTTTTGGGCGCCGCCGGCGGTACCTTCCTCCTTTTTCCTACCTGACACTACCCTTACCCCTTTTCCCTTTATCAAAAATACCGCGACACCCTACCCTCCTCCCTTTCCCTACCCGACACCACCCTTGCCCTTCTTCCCCTTCTTCTCTTTTCCCACAAATCCACTCAAAATACCCAAATTTTCCGATTTGGCCATTTGATATGTTGGAGTAAATCAGAGCCGAATTTATTCGATTTCTTCGTTTTAGGGCCAATTGATTCGGAACCAAACCCTAGATTTTTTTTTATCAAAACTTGGTTCAGAATATGAGAATTTGATGGGGTTTCTTTAGTTCAACACGGGGAAGGGGGCGGGATTCCGGGCTCACCAGCGGCGGAGGAGAGTACGACTGTGCATTGCTGTTGGCACGGGGGAGGGTGCGGGATTCGGCAACTCACTGGCAGGGTTTGGGTTGGTGAGAGGAGGGAATGGTGTTTTTTTATTATTATTTTTTATTTTTTTTAATAATTAGATTTTTAAGTTTTTATTATTATTTAAGTTTTTTTTTTTTAAAAACAACTAATCAGATGTTGCCACATGGCGTCATTAACCTTAATGACTAACGGAGTTAATTGCCGTTAGTCATTAAGGGCATTTGGTGACATTTTCAGAAAACTTATGGGTATATGGTGAACTTGAAAATTTTTATGGGTATTTGGTAAATAAAAAAGTAACTTAAGGGTATATGGTGAAAAATCCGAATTATTAATTATCCTATTAGGCATGATTTCAAGTACAAATTCCTTTTAAACCTACAAAAAGGAGCGTGATCAAGCAATATCAATAAATCATGAATAATCAAGCAACATATGATTAATATAACAATCATCACAATAACAACATCATCAAAACATCGTTAATAGTAAGATCCTAGGCATGATACTAAATGGATTAATAACAAATCCTAGCATGTCACTAATAATTGAATCAAAGCGTTATCCTAAACATGATAGTAGAAATCATAAAAACATCCTAAACATGATACTAGAAATCATGAAAAACAACCTATCATGATACTAGGAATTAAAATAACATCGTAAACATGATTTCTACTCCAAAATCAAAAGAATAATAAGGGTAATTTGATTACTCACTTTGATGCCTCAACCTTGCTATTAAAACAATACACATGTTAGTTAACTTAAAGAAAGTCAAATCAATAAAGTAAATAAATCAAATATGAATTGAAATATAGATTTGGGACCAAACCCTCAAAAATATCAACCTTTCACATTGAGGTCGAAGGCAACGTTGAGGATGGCTTGGAGTATTCGAATCTCGTGAATGAGGAATTTTGGATGATTTGGAAGAATATCAAGGATATGTTTAGGCTAAGGCTAAGAACATGGGGATCAAGAAAGAGAAGAGAGGATGAAGATAATTGTGATGATTGTTGGTGGTTGTGGATGATTTGAAACGGGGTAAAACGACCTCTATTTATAAGGAAAAAAAGAGAGCCTGACGATTAGAAAAGTTCAAAATTTGGAATGGAATAAAACAAGTTCCATTGCAGGGCGATAGACCTATCGCTGCGCGATGGTTCCGTCGTTCTGCGATGGTTTCAAAGATGACCAAGTCGTAAAGAGTTTGATTCCTTATAGAACTGGGTTAACGAAACA